TTTGAATCATACCCAAAGAGGGTATAAAACAAGAAAGAGATAAAGACTTAAGACAGTTATTTCCTTCCCTATAAGCCATGATTTCCCTTCTCTACTGTTATGACCCTTGAAAATATCATGAATGTAGACACTGATTTTTTTAAAAGTCAAAACAAATGAGTTTGCCATCTTAAATTGAATTTAAACTGTTTTTAAGGATTACATATTATGAAGGAAGTATCTTGGTTGAAAATTACAGCATATTAAAACCTTAAAAAGATTGATAAAATAATTATGAAAGTTTTCCAGGAAAGAAATCTAATCAGGCATACTCCATTCCACTAAGTCCTTAAGTTTTAGAAGTGGGTCATATCTGGACACATTCCCTAATTGACCAATGAAAAATAATTACATTAGTTTATCATCTCTGTTCTGAAGTTGATCAATTAGTTCTAATTCAATTTTAGTTTAGATGATATTCTTTGGAGAGAAATAAAAAAGTTGTTCAAAAGCATGATTCATTTTGTAACTTAAAATATTTTAATCAAAATGATATAATAAAACTTCACTGGAATTTCATGTGTCAATTTGCCAATTTTCCCACCTACAGGTGTCTTTGGAAAACACTGCGAGTTGAACAGTTATGGATTTGAAGAGTTATCATACATGGAATTTCCAAGTTTGGACCCCAATAACAACTATATTTATGTCAAATTTGCAACAATCAAAAGTCATGCTTTATTGCTTTACAACTATGACAACCAGACAGGGGACCGGGCTGAGTTTTTGGCCCTCGAAATTGCCGAAGAAAGGCTAAGGTTCTCTTATAATTTAGGCAGTGGTACCTATAAACTCACCACCATGAAGAAGGTGTCAGATGGACATTTTCACACTGTGATTGCCCGAAGAGCAGGAATGGTAAGACAGTTCATCCTACATTATCTTCGTCCTGTTGTTCTTGAGTATCCAGTTAATTAGGCCTTTAAGTAAAGCATGAATTGAGGTGTAGAGTTAAATTATGTTTATTCATCATTTGACCAAAGTAGTTATGAACTACAACAGTATTAGAAGTACTATTTTTCTTTCTCTCATGATGACTTTGCTGCTATCTCAAAAACATTAAAAGGGAGAAAGTAAAGAAAATAGCCTAGTGCATAAAAATTTTATTGATATTTCCTGTGTGTTTTTAAGGCTATGTCAGGACTATGCTTAAAATAGCTACTTTTCTTTCATAATAATTTCTGCCATAGCAGAAGAAACAATTTAGGAACAAGGGGAGAATATTTTTTTATAAATACATTACCAACCAAAGATGATATTTAATACTGATTTCAATATAGTACTATTCTTATTAATTCTTATTACACTAGCACCTCAGTAATACTGCAATCTGTGAAGTCTACGATATAAGACTATGTTAGAATGAAATGGGTTTTTCTGGACTATCTAAGGTATTCTCAGAATTACAAATCCATTATATTTGAGATTTTCATATTATACACAGGCATACCTTGGAGATATTGTGGGTTCGGTTCCAGACCACCGCAAAAAAGCAAATATCACAATAAAGCAAATAACACAATAAAGTGAGTCATGGAAATTTTTTGGCTTCCCAGTGCATATGAAAGTTATATTTACACTATACTGTAGTCTATTATAAAGTGTGCAATAGCTTTATGTCTAAAAAAGTACATATCTTAAAAATATTTATTGCTAAAAAATGCTAACAATCACCTAAGCTTTCAGCAAGTGGTGATCTTTTTGCTGGTGAAGGGTCTTGCCTTAATGTCGATGGCTGCTGACTGATCAGGGGGTGGTTGCGAAAGGTCGAGTTGGCTGTGGCAATTCCTTAAAATAAAACAACAATGAAGTTTGCCATATCAATTGACTCTTCCTTTCATGAAAGATTTTTCTATGACATATGATGCTGTTTGATAGCATTTTACCCACAGTAGAAATTCTTTTAAAATTGGAGTCAATCCTCTCAAACCCTGTTGCTGCTTTATCAACTAAGTTTATGGAATATTCATAAATATTGATGTAACCATGAATATTGATCCTTCCATAATTAGAATAAATATTTGGAGATTAATATATGTAGTTTGGGGGTTATTGTAGCCACAATAATATTCTAAAACTGATAGGTGACCCTAATGAGTGAGAATAGATATCACTCTACCCTAATTCTCCAAGCATAGGTAAGATAACCGTATTTCCGAGATATTGTCAAGCAGACTATTATGTAGAAGAGACAGTTTTACCTCATGACCTCCAAAGTCCCTTTAAACTTCATGTACATTTGATTCTATCAGATAAGGACTTGGGAACAAGAAGTGAGTGGAGGAAGTTCTGTAAAGTGTGCAGCTCATTTGTGCTATGTGGCCATAGTAATCAAGTTTTAAATAAAACCAAGGTGAAAAAAATCTCTTCCATCATTACTTCAGTCATACTTCAGTCTCCCTATTTCAGAAAATATCCAAATTAAGGCCCCTACTGTATTGTGAATTTGTTATTTTCTACAGTTCAAATGATTTTTGTTGGAAACTGGAAATATCATTAACCTCTCAGCTTTAAATCATTGCATAGTCGGGATAGAAACATATCAATTTACAGTGGTACTGGTAGAAAAATTCAACAGTAAAAGAAGGAGTGTTTAACTCTGAAGATTAAATTGCATGAGCTTCTGTTCAAATAAAACAGCCCCTTGGTTATTCTTTTTTTGAGTGGTGTCACTAAGCTTTTAGAAAATAAGAAAAATATATTGATCTGAAATATTAACAATGACTAACACAAAATTTAGATAATTCTAAGGTTATTTTTCTAGTTGAGGCATTCATAAATATCCATGTGATATTGTCTAGCTTATGATAGCTTCAGGGATCTCTAGAATGGATACTTTGTATGCAGAGAGAGATGTGTTAAATCAGATAGTCGAC